GGGGGCCGCCGCTGCGGCAGCCCCTCCGGCGCCCAGGGAGGTCCCGGTGTCCTCGGTGAGGGTAGTGAGCGCCTGCGGGGCGGTCTCCGAGGAGATCGAGGTGCTGGAAATGGTGCGGGAGGACGAAGCGGCCCCGGCATCCCTGGTGCTCTTGGACCCCGAGCAACAGCCACCCACCACTGATCTGGAGTCCGCGGCCGAGGAGTGCAGCTGGGCCGGGCTCTTCTCCTTCCAGGATCTGCGCGCGGTGCACCAGCAGCTGTGCTCGGTGAACTCGCAGCTGGAGCCGTGCCTGCCCGTCTTCCCCGAGGAGCCGTCGGGTATGTGGACCGTGCTGTTCGGGGGCGCCCCGGAGATGACCGAGCAGGAGATCGACACACTGTGTTACCAGCTCCAGGTCTACCTGGGCCACGGCCTGGACACCTGCGGTTGGAAAATCCTCTCCCAGGTACTCTTCACTGAGACCGACGACCCCGAGGAGTATTACGAAAGCCTTAGCGAGCTGCGGCAGAAGGGCTACGAAGAAGTGCTTCAGCGGGCCAGGAAGCGCATCCAGGAGGTAAGTTTGCGCTTCAGCCGTAGCTTTTCGTTACTCATTACCAAAGGCTGGAGCCCCGGTCTAGGCTGGGCACATTTGGGACACTTGTTCCTAGGCAAGGGAGAGAGAAGACGATGGGTTCCTGTGACCTGTGTCCCCCTTCATTCCTTTCACTGATTGGAAAACTGGTTTTCCATAATTGGCCCTCTGCAGGACCTTTGATAAGCCTTTAGATCTCCTCCCCCGTTTATCATAGAGGTTCTACCTAGTAAGTGCTGTCTGTTTATGAACTGCCACTAAGGTTAAAGCCACTTTGAAAAAAGGCGGCCTGTAAATGTAAGCTAAGTGAGCATTTCTCTTTGCCCCTAAATCTCTTTCTAGCAATAATTACCCAGGTATTAACCCTGATGTTATTTCTTGGTGTCATGCTCATTTACTCAAAATAGTTTCGGAGTAAAGTTGATCCGCTTTTACCTCCACATGTAGTTTGGCAGCTTAGGCACATTTTAAATTCGTTGACCTCCAAATAAGTGGCCTGTGCAAATGAAGCACCAAGTGACAATTGGATGCAAATGTATTTTCAAAGGTTTTATACACACTTTAGGAATATCTCCAGTCCTTACAGATGGTTCATGTTTCACTCCTGTTTTAGGGAGAAAAAAATGCCCTGGTCAAGGAATGTTTAGTTTACTTATGTACTTAAGAGATAAGTAGTGCAGTGTAGTGCAGTATGGAGAAAAAGTTGGAGTGGGTATCGGGAGCTCTACAATGCGTAAGATACATATACTTTGAGGTCATGCCTACTTTAAGCTTCTGAAAGAACTTCACTAAAAAAGTATTTTCAGATATACTCAGTTTCCTCTAATGGACACTAAAAGATACTTTTTCAGAGCAGTTTATTATTTTTAGTATCAGTACCAGTTGAGGTTGGACTTGGGGTAGGGAAATGCCCCTTTTTATGGTGTTTATATTTCTGCCATTGTGTTGTCATCTGTCAACCTTATATATATAATACTCGAATCCTTCTATTGAAGCTAGGAAGCTAGAGCCTCCTGGTTTCTTAGAGTGTGGTTTTTCTTTGCTAGACTTGAGGATTTAGGAAATAATTCTTTCTCACTTATCCTACAGTGCTCTCTTACAACTTACTGAATCCAGGTTTTCACTCCTTCCGGTTTATTTTATGCTAAACATCACCCACCTGTAATATGATCCTAGAGTTCCAGGATTTTTATTTCCTTTGGTATCATCTCCTTTCTGGAGTCTGTTCTACCTAAGATTGTTTTTTGGAAGGAAGTGACAGAAAGCTTAAGTGGCCACACATATTCTCTTTAAAGAATATTTTGCTAATGTTGACCCTTATTTCTTTGAAATTCCAAGGAAAAAGTGCTTCTTTCTCTTACTCCATTTACAGATATATACTATACTGTTTTTAAGAAAAGATTGTATTTTTTTAATCCCTAAATCATATAGGTATGCCTGGTTTTAAATTTATTGATACTCAGAAAAAGTAATTTTGTCTTTTTAAAATTCAAATTGGGTAAAAAATGAGGGCTGCCAAAAGTATAGTTAATTACAGTTTTCTAGAGCTCTTTCATGTGGGGAGGGTGTTACATTTTTTTAAATAAATTTTTTTACTAATTAAGGTTATATTTACCATAATATTTTATTCTGTTTAACAGAAAATTTTAAACTATTAAAGAGAATTTTGTGTTTTGGGAAACACTTTAAAATAAATAAAATTTATTATAAATTTATTGAATATTCACTTTAAAATAAATAAAATTTATTATAAATTTATTGAATATTAAATACATAAACTTATGGTGCTTTATTTAGTTTACTTGAATAGTATTTAAAAAACAGCTGTCAAGGAAATAAACAGGTTTAGTTATAATGTCCACCCTGATTTCTATTGGAAGATCCTGTTGAAATTATGAGGCTAAGGGGGGGGAAACGGTGCTGTGATTAATTAGTGATGTCTGCCATGAGCATGATAGTGGGGATGTATAACACCAGCCAGGTTTTTTTGTTGTTATTGTTCCCCAGCTGTTTAAATTCTTTGCTGTCTTAATAGTTTGCAGTAACATTTTTTTTATGTAGGTGAAATCTTTATAGAATGTTTGATTTTTGTATTACTGATTCTGTTGAGTTTAATAATTACATCTAATTCAGTGTTTTTGTATTTCCAATTTTCAGGTTGACATAACTTGTGTAATTGGCTCTAGTTTTTCAAACTAGGTGTATTTGGTAAATCAAACACATTCCTAGGTATATGTTGCTTAGAAAATTTAGTTGTTCAGTCATATTTTTCCTTTAATTTCTATGAATCTATTTTCTGGTCCCTTTTTCTACAGAATTACTTTTCCTATCCATTTAAAGGTTTCAGCTTAAAGACCACGCCTGTTTTTGTTCAAAATGGTCAGTAAATTGTTGGAAGGCATTTTTTTGTTTTTGTTTTTTAATAGAACAGACTGTGCAAATAGATTGTAAACTTTTCTAGGTCACTGACCTTGACAATATCTTGGAATTCTCTTCTTTGGCACCCCCTAGTTCAGGGCCACACATCTTGTGAGCACTCTTAATACTAGTGGACAAAGGACACCAGAGTTTGTTTTTAGTGTTGCAAGAATATAAAGGGTTTGGAAGAACTGTCCTGTTAATGTAAAGTTGTGAGTAAATAAATTTTTATAAAATGATAAGTGTAAATTTCTTGAGACCATGCTATTGAAAACTAGGAGAAAAAACTCTTAAAACTGTAAATGACTTCCTAAACAAGGGGTCTTTATCTGGGGTTGGTGAATTCCCTGTAAATTGAAGGAACTATATATATGGACTTTAATGGGCATGTAAAATTTTATATGCATAAGCATGTTTTCATTTTTGGAGAGAAAAAATTTTTCAAACTCTTAAAAGTGTTTTTCAAAAAGAGCTTTAAAACCACAATTGTAAACTAGCACCCATGGCTGCTGTGCTTTGTAAACTCTACTGGAGTTTAATTTTGGGAATACACTTATGATTAAATATAGGTCATAAGAAGTACTCCTATGTCCTTGTCTTGTGAAATATTGAAGTATTAAACCTTAGGTTCTCTGCTAAAAGTTTTTGTTAATGATTCACAAATTTGGTCATCTGACTGGAAATAATAGTTTGGGAGGAGCTGCAATTTATACAGTACTGAGAACTTATTTTTAGCTTACATACAAATTGTATACTGTTTAGGACCTCAATCTTGACTACAAATGAAACGTGAAATTTATTATAAGGTAAGTCTGTCTTGGACTTTTACAAGGGTTTACAGTAAATAGTGCTATTTATACAGCAGACACTCAATCCCTAAGTGAATCAAGTGCCACCAAGGTCTCTTGGAATGGTTTCAGCAGTAGCCCTGGTTGTTGGTCTGAGCTGAGGATTGTATTATAGTGTGTGTGCATGGGTGGTCCATACTGTGGCTTACCTTTGATGACTTAGGTTTTGTAAATAATGGTTTCTGTATAAGGACAATTCTTGAAATTATTATTTGTGGTTGTTTAGGTAATAAACCTTAATAACTATGATGGAAGGCTTGATTAAGATCTATAAATCACTGTTCACTTTGGAATTTATTATGTTTGTAAAACTGTCCTCAATTCTAACTTCTTTTCAGTTGAAATCGCTGTTTGAGAGCAGCATGTGTTTTCAAAAGTAGCCATCCACATAAGGCACACACAGTAAGCAGAGCCTACCTAGGGGGTAGAGTCAGAAGGACCTGGATTTGAATATGGACTTACCACTTCTTTAACCTGCTTAGTTATTTAAACTCTTAGAACAGGGAAATGGAGAAAATGCTTAAAGGATATCTTAAGATTTAATTAAGACAGTATGAAAAAGTGCCCAACAGTGTGTCTAGTAGTTATAAAGGAGACTTCCAAGAAGTGCTAATGGTCTCTTTCATGTCATAAGGATTCTCTAGAGTTTTCAGCTCAGTACTTCTTTCAGGGAATGGAATTTATTGGCCTCTTAGGTATTGGGCGCTTCACATTTTCCTTGCATCCTCCCCACTGTTTCTTGAGCTAAGTGGTGTTTTGTTTTGTTTTTACCTATTTTCCTGAAGCAGAAGTTGAAATTTAAAGATGTTACACAGATTCCGTCAACGTTAAACAGCTAAGGAGTGACCATACTCAGATTTAATCCTAGATTTGTCTTAATCCAAATGTGTGCCTTTTCTGCCATTCCTACTTTTCCTAAAGACATTAGAAGGGATGTCAGTCTCCATTCCTGAGAATAGAAGAGTGCCGATATATAAAATTCTAGTAAGTTCAATAATGACTTTTAAATTAAGATAACTCACGTGTTTTATTTCAAATTAATTATGATAGACATGTGGGGCAGAGTCTGCATGTTGTATTTTAGAAGAAAGAGTTTGCCTGGGGTGCAAGGATGGATTTATGTTAAGACAAGGGTGCCCAATCACTGTTTTCCTTTGTATCTTAAAATGACAGCTATAAACAACTCTTGACTTCTGAGGTTATTTAACAGTTAACAGAAGGGGCAAGGAGCTCTAAGAAGACTGTTTACTTAGCACCTCTCCTCTCAATTATGACTCTCCTAAGTTTTCTGGAAAACCAAGATTAATCATAAAACTCTGGAGACTTGATGAAATCCCAGCTATATACATTAGAGAAGTGACAGTGTTTTAGGAGCCCTAGGATGCCGTCTATTATTGGGTCAGTGAGCCATGACCCATGATTAGCTAGGTATAAATAGCAGAAGCAGGCCAGGGAAGGACAGAATGTAGTTGCAGTGGGGAGAGAGCTGTTCTGCCTGTACATTCCCACAAAAATGGTGCAGACTGCTGTCTTACTGTAAAACACAGTTAAGGAAGAATGGAGCTAAGTAAATTTTGTGGGATTCTTGAGAGTTATGATGAAAGACTTGAAAGGTGGAAATCGTTAAAATAATGACTTAAGATACTAATCATTTTCTTCAGTCCTGTGCTCAAATAAACTTTTGGTCATTTTTCATATTACCGAAAAAAGTATAGG